GGTCATGACGGCGCAGAAATACCTGGAGACCCGAGCCGTAACAGCCTACAGGTGAGGACCCCGCCGCCAGCTGGCCCCGACCCTGGGAATGGGAGCGGCGGGCGGGAAGGCTTGGCGGCCCGGCGGTCCGGTTCCCGCGCTGCCTTCTGAACTGAACGTGGGGAGGGGTCCCTCCTGCTTCGGCTGGGGTCCTGCCCTATCCGGTCCTTTTCTCCCTTCTCTTGGCCTTTATTCCTCCCTACATATTTGCAAGCCATCTTGGGGGTCCCAGAGGAATCATACGTGCCGCTGTAAGCGCAGCTCTGACCCCCTTCCCTTCAGTGCACAAAGGCGTCCTTCAGTGGCGCTGGGGGCCATTCGTTTTGGGGCTGTTAAGGAAATACAGGATTGCGTGAAGGAGGATTTTGTATCCCCTCAAGCATATCAAACCTGCTTGCAGATTTCAGGGAGGCTGTGTCCATGCACGCTTTTCTGCAAACCCACTTTTTAAGGAGGGAGGTAATAATCCGATCTCCTCGATACCCTTAAGAGTAGTCTATCTTTACATCTGGGTTTTAGGCTCAGCCCAACTTATATGATTTCAGTGCCCCCAAAACAGAAGGGGGAATTTCCTCTATACCTAATTTTTAGTGAGTAGCTGATCACTTTAATAGGAGAGGGAAAACTACATTTCTCCAACTATACTGGTTTAAATGCTAAGAATAAAAGTCCTTTGTGATCCAAACTTTGAAAACCAAGATACTTAAAGTGTGTGTGCGTGGATATGTGGATATTACAGTAATTTCAGATACTGAAAGTTTTAGGTTTTGTATGGCCCAGTGAATACACCCTTTGGTTCTTGTTTGACTGAATCCCTTCTTCCATCTGCCAGCTTCAGCATACTGGAGATTGCTTGCACTTAAGGCATGTATCAAGATAATAACTAAACAGTTTTATGTGGAAAGGGATGAAACTGGCTAGACGCACAATAACCTGGGAGGAGAAAGGGAAATAAATCATTCTGCTTAATGGTTCTTCTGGCCCAAACTAGTGTCACTAATTAGTTCAGGAGTATGCAATTCTTATTTTAAGTTGAATTCTCTTTCTCTTTAGGGGAAAAGAAATCGTTCATTTCATTTTGCAGGGAGAGGTTTCTGTTTCCTGAGCATATTCTATATCGACATTGGGCTGTTTGTGACACTCTAGAGATGCATATGATTGGCTTGGGAGAAGCTGGGGAGTTCAAGTCCATTTCCCACCCCAAAGCTGCAGGAGACAGAAGTACCTATGACAGCCCTCTCTATCTGGATGTTTTCCAGATGTGTGTCTTTCAAGTCCCAGATTCTGCAGCTGGAATGACTCTTGCTGAAGATTCTGGGAGTGGTCCTTATCTCAAGACATAGAAGACTGTCCTGCAACATTGTTCTATAAAGTTTTTTTTTTTAAGTCTTGATTGCAAAAAGAAGAAAACAGAAAAGTGCTTTAACAAAAAAGTAAAAACAACAGAGAAAAAAGTGTTAATATAACATGACAGTTACTTTTCTATATCTACTTACCTAATACAAATATTATTCAGGTAGATGTTTATTTCTAATAGATTTATATGACTATCATGTTTTTTTTTTTAAACCTACTCTATTTTGTATAAATGAGTGCCATATTTTATTATACTTGTCCGTACAAAGTCTGCGTCTCTAGGCAATCTGTTCATAGGTGGCAAGTGCAATCAGGTCTTCAATACATTGAATAAATGGGGGCCTACATTTATCTTTCCAGTGCTGCAATATCAGTCTTTTGGCCATAGTAAGGGCACGGAGAATCCATTTACATTGTCCAAATGTCAGATTCCATGTCCTAGGAATATAGTTCAAAAGAATATTATCCTTTGGAAATTGTAGCTTTTGTCGCACATTCATATTTATATCGTCTACTACTTTCTGCATTGTTCTATAAAGTTGATAAAAAGTCATCTGCCTTTATAGAAACTGAAAACAGTTTCAAGAGGGAAGGCTTGGTGTTTACCAGATCTGTTGGGACTCCAGTTCCCAGCATTTCAAGGGTATTCCCAACATGGGTGGAAGATTTTGGGCTGGGGAAGACTTCCTTAAAGGGGTGATATAATCATATGTTATCTGGTATCAGTGGTGATGGGCAGATATGCCCTTTGCAGCAATGATGCCAATAATTCCCATACTTTTAGAGGGATGGTGGTTCTTCTTTTATGGAGAGAAAGCAGGGGTCACACAGGAATCCTGTGGGTAGATCCTGTTCCTGGTAACCCATAGATTGCTCTGGCCCGTAGTTTGTCTTGGACTTTTTTCTTGGTTGAACCAAAGATGGAGAATTAGGTGGTGATGGAAAAACAATGTTTTAGTCAAGAACATGTGATTTGGGAGCAGAGAGCTGATCTTCTCTGTTCAGTTATGTCCAGAACAAGGGTGCTTTCTTGTTGACATACCAGCTAAATCATTATTATGGAAAAATGGTCATGAGCCACTTGAGGACCACAGTTTAAGACGCCTTGTTCATACCTCCTCTTTTTCTCCAAGTCACTTTGGTGGCATCAGTTTAGTGTCCTTGTTCCCAACAAAACTCTGAGCAACTAATGTTCATGTACTGAATTATAAATTATGGTGAGAATTCTGGCATGAGCAAATCTGTAATTGAAACCAGCCTATTTTCTTTTCCCCTTTTAACAGAGTGGAAGCTTTTAACTGAAATTGGGAAATCGCTGGTCTCTTTCTCTCCACCCCAACACCCACCCACCCCACCCACCCACCATCCAAAGAAGGAAAGTTGGATTTGGTGGGGATTTCTTTTCCATCTGGATCAGTGACTTGAAATGCCCTCTAAGCAAATACGTAACCAGATCATCGACAATGTATATGCAGAGAGACAAGGAGGCCTTGTTTAGCATCAGCCTATCTATTCAGCTCTCACTTGGGATTGTTGGAAATTGTATCTTGGCAGCAAACCAGGACCCCAGCCTCTGGTCTACTCTGACAAAAAACAGTTCTTGGAAGTTGTAGGATCTCTTTTTCATTTCAGCTACATAAGTATTCCCCCCACTGTCAGAGCCAGAGGTTTGAATCTGAGGTGGTCTGCATGCAGAATAACTGTATGCTAAATCAAAACATGGTTTGTTTGGTGGCTTAGTGTGTTGTATCAACCCAGCTGCTGTGGCTTGTAAAACATGGTTTGAGACTTAGCATGTTGGGGAACCTAAACCAGTTGTATTTTAGCTAGTAAACATTGGTGCATCAAATCATAGAGTAACGTGTAACTCAAGCCACTAATTTACAGCCAATCAGGAAGCCTTTTGCTGTCCAATTAATAACAAAAAAAGTCTTTGTTCTTTACCTGGTCTGCAGAAGGCTCTGCCCTGCATATGCGTATCGGTCTGAACGAGGGTCTGTATGTATATAGGTATGTGTGTGTATACACCCACAAACATACCCACAAACCAGTAATGACATTGTGCTTGTTTGAAGATTTGCCCCCACATTTCAAAGATGCCTTCACTGATTTGGTGATTCAGTAGCATCAGGTTACTTGAAGAAAAAGTGTGCAAAGGCTTACAGCAGACATATGATTGTTCCTGCTCTCTTGTGGCTTTCAAACATAAAATTGTTCAATGCAGAACATGGTGGCTAAACCCTAAGGAGCTTCATCTGAATTGATATCCCTTTTTGATGCTCCACAATGTAAGAAAGATGCAGTTTCCTGCAGGTAGAAGTCTGCAGGGAGCAAGTTGGAATTAAGAAATCCAGTGACAAATATTCGAATTACTGGTAGGCTTTTAAAATGACTATTGTTACACGTGGACCATAGCACGATATCTTCTAGAACTGGTACTGTTCACTAAATGCGGCAGCATTTGGTGTTCAAGCCAGATCTGTCTTGATTTAAAGCTGTTTTGCCTCTTGGTAGTAGAACTAGGATTTTTTCCCCCAAGACCTGGGCCACACAAGACTTTGTGTCCTAGAGGCAATTTTGTATCATTGTAGTACTTTTCTCCTGGCTTGTTTATGTAATCAGAACTCTGTATCCTTTCTGAAGTACGGTATGATGATTTTAATTTTTGGTCAATAAATATAAGTGATGGAGGGCTACATTGTTGCTGAAGAAAGGGCAAAGAGAAAGCAAAAATGTTTATAAGAACTTCAGACTGTAGGCCTTAACTACCTGTAGTTGGTCTTTAGCAAAGCAAAAAGCAACCAAGGGCATGTTTAACTTTGCTGGGATACAAAGTGGCCTCTTCCAACCTGATATTCTTCAGATATGTTGGACTACAAGTCCCATCGCTCCAAAGATTCAGTGGCTTAGGAATGGTGGAGTTTTTTATCCAATGCATTTGGAAGATGCCATGGTTGGTTTATGGTTTTGCTTTGTTTGAGAATTATACCCTGGACTGTTCAGCTAGAGCAGCGTTAGGTACTTTGGAATTTAGGACAATTTTGCTGAACCACTGGTTATACTGGTAGAAGTTGCTGGGAGGTGTAGTTCAACAAACTCTGGAGCATCACACTTTACTCATTGCTACTGTAGAGGGAAAATAATTCAGTGTTCATGGTCAGTAACTATCAATAGTCCTAGGCTTCATAAATTTTCTAACACTTCTGGATTTCAAAAGCATCTGTGATACTGACCCTCACTACCCAGCAAGATAATTTTGCAAATCTATACATCTGAACTTAAGTTCAATCAGCTTCATTGGGTGACCCATATTGCAGCTACGATAGGGGAAAAGAAGGTCTTTGCATCTCTGGTGGTTGCCTTAATTCTCCCCATCTAGTTTTTCCTTCTTCCCCCCCCCTTTTTTTTTTTTAATCAGATCTAATATTTGGTAATTTGTGATGGGAACAGACTGCAAGTCCAACCAGGCTCCTTCTGCTGACAGCAATACAAGGCTTGAAAGGCTGGTGGAAGTAGAGGGTGATTCCTTGTAAATATTCTGCTCACAATCCCAAAATGTAATTTCTGCACAGTTTTGGAAAGAAGGTGGATGAGACAAGAGAGCCTTCTGACAGACAGCTGGGCAATAAAATGTCAGGTTCAGAAGCCTTGATACAACCTTTTTCTGAAGGATCCACTTCCCCAGGCTTCACTTAATTTTGGTTTGTGGAAGACAGAACCATGGGCTGGGTTCACACAGCATGCTAAACTGTGGTGTATAAAGCACAATGGATGGGCTTATGTTACACAAAGAAGTCCCACAGGCTGTGTTTCTGCAATATGCTGCTTCTGATAGCACCATATTGGATTTTTGGGGGTTCTTCCTTACTTAGCCCTTGAACTGAAGTCTCAGGAATGATGGATTCCTTGGATCCCAAACAGACACGTCACAATTTCATGGCATAGGTGAGGGGACGGCTTCCAGTCAAGAATGAGGAACTTGTGGTCCACCAGGAGTTGCTAATTTTAACTCCCTGCAACTCCAACTCGTGCGGTGAGAGGTGCTTTCCTTTTACAGGGCCAAATGTTCCTTCTTTGTGAAATTCTTTAGAGGCAGACACTTTGAAACTCAAACCCGCTGCCTTTGTTGAAACAGGCCCGTCGATCGGCTTTCTCACTGTTGTCAGTTGCAGTTAATCTTTCATGGTGCGAGGAAGAGCAATTAATTGGTTCTCATGAAGGGAAGTCATTAAACGGAGGAGTAGCTGGGAGAACCTAATCTCGCCACTTTATCAGATGGATCTGTCTGTGGAGGGAAAATGTGGTGGAGCGCTCTTGGAAGGTAGCACCGCAGTTGCATTATTTACAGAGAAACCAGCTTTAAAGAACAGCTGATTAAAAAAGAAGAAGCAGCAGCAAACCTAACACCGGATGCTTACTTCTATACCCAGGGCTCGCCGTTTTTTGCAGCTTCTGCCTTGAGTTTCATTTTGTGTTTTAAAGCTTGTTATGATACTCTCGGAGGAATTTTCATCTGGCTAATGTCTGATTGGAAGAGACTGCCGCTTAGTTTCATTTTTGTTTAATTAGGAGAGAGGGGAAGCCTATTTCCTAAATGTGACTTTACTGTCTGTCGCTTGGCTTTTCTTAGCAAGGGTAAGGATCCGAAGGAGCAATAGAAAAGCATCCTTTTCCTTTTCCCCCAGTATGGATTTTAGTTAGAGTTGCTTATTTCAGCTTTCAGGAGAATTCCCCAGCTGGGCCTTGTTAAAAGTGGGGGGGGGGGAATCAAGAGCTAAAGGATTAGACGATGAACATCATGGATTTACATGGCCGGCTCTACCGATAGGCAGATGTCTCAAGCAACCGATGCAAGGAGGGAGCTTCAAGCTTCTAAGCTAGCCTTATGCTTCAAGTGAACGGAAAATGTTCTCCCTCTACCGACATCCAAGAAAGATCTAGCTCAATTAGCTTGTCATCTTGCTCATCAATTTAGGCAAGAAAATGTTAGGCCGGCTCTGTGGACATGGACTAGGATTACAGATGATCTACCCAGAACAGAAGCTTGGAAGGCAGCAAGAAACTCATAGTTTTTTCATGACGTTTATTCACTTGGCACTTAATTTTTTGCATTTGTATGTTGTGAGTCTCCTTGATTGTCTTTTGGATAGGATAACAAATCAACATTTAATAAACAACTGACTTTAGGATGAGGCCATCTCTGCCCAGATCCTTTGTATGTGTTTGGGCAGAAAACATGTTTTCAGATTGAAATGACAAATCTTCACATTAGACTGGCTTTCCTAAATATTTGCTCCTGAATATTCATCGGCTTAATATCACCACTAATTTGAATGAAAGAAATCTAATAGGTTCTTTTCTTGAATTAAGTTTAGGAGGTAAAGTAACAGTGGCTTCTGCTTTTTCTTACTTTCAAATGTTAAAAAAAAGCCGTCCGTTTCTAAATATATTAGCAGTTTAAAATGTGTATATTGTTTATATATCGGTTCACATTATAAGCTGCAGATTCACTTAATTCAGCCAGCCCCCCCCCCCCCCCCCCCC